TCCTCTACAGGCTTGCCTGGCTGCCAGCAAGGCTCCAGGTCTGGGCTACATAGGCTCACTGCATGTGACCTGAGACAGGACATGCTGCTTCCCCAAATGTGAAGGCAGCAGTTATAGTACATACCCTGAGAGTCAAGTCTCGGGAAATTATCAGTGAGTTTCTTGTTCTGCCCTCTTTTTCCCTCCACCTCGCTGGGAGGCCAGGCAGGCTCCCATTGGGGCATCTCCCACTTGGACAACGTCCCCTTGGATACAGGCCAGGCAGGTGGTTGGCATGGCTGCGGCCCCCCTTTCCCTGGAAGGATTAGCATTGAACAAACCAAAGCCCCTGGGGAGGTGAGGCCAGAGCCAACCCTCAGGCCAGTCCAACCTGCTGCAGGTGCCAGAGGGATGCGCCAAGGTGGAGCGAGCAGGCTTGCAGAACATGGAGCTGGCGCCTGTGCAACGCAGGATTGAGGCCCGCTCAGCGGAGGACTCCTTCACAGGCTTTGTCCGGACTCTCTACTTTGCTGACACATACCTGAGGGACAGTGAGTGGTCAGCCTGGGCTAGGACGGGCATGTTGGAAGTTTCTGCCTGATGGGACCTGGAAGGGGTTTCCCCTTGTGAGCAGGGGCAGACCACAGGCCTCTCCTGGGCCTCCGAGTCAGCCTGGTGTTGTGGGCCTCCGAGTCAGCCTGGTGTTGTTTTATGTCCAGCCTCCACCCCTTTCTAGAAGCATGGGCTTGGACACACCACTGAATTTTTCTGGGCCTCAGGTTCCCCATCTATGAAATGGGGGAATCAGCTCTTCTTCTTAGAGTGACTGTGAGGATTGGGGTGGCACAGTGGGAAGTGGGCTTCAGTGGGTGAGTGGGAGTGTCCACTTCCCAGCTGGTTTTCTCTCACTGGGTGGGCTCTCTCCTGCTGTTCCACAGCAAGGGCGGGACTGTCCTAGGTTCAGGATCACCTGTGTATAAGCCTGTGTGGTTGTCAGAGTTAGCGTCTCCCTGGCTTTCCCAGGAGGGAAAACCTTGGGCATGAGCCCTAGCTGCCCAGCCCCCTAACTCCCAGAGCCAGGAGTGAGATGTCCAAACCTTTGCTTCTCTGCAGGCTCCCGCCACTGCCCCTCTCTGTGGGCAGGCACCAATGGGGGCACCGTCTATGCCTTCTCCCTGCGTGTTCCCCCAGCCGAGCGGAGGATGGATGAGCCAGTGCGGGCCGAGCAGGGTGAGTGCCCAGTGGGGAGAGCAGAGGGCACTCAAGCTGCCTGGTTGGGGAGAACAGTGGCTCCCTTGCTGCCCAACCACAGCCCTGCTGCCTGCCTCCTTCCACAGCCAAGGAAATCCAGCTGATGCACCGAGCACCTGTGGTGGGTATCCTTGTGCTTGACGGACACAGTGTGCCCCTTCCCGAGCCTCTGGAGGTGGCCCATGACCTGTCAAAGAGCCCAGATATGCAAGGAAGCCACCAGCTGCTTGTCGTGTCAGAGGAACAGTTCAAGGTACCTATAGAGTCCCTGGAAATCCCTGGGACATCCGGGGGCCTGAGATCCTGGGTACAAATGGTGATGGCTGGGACTCAAGGTCTTGTGTAAATTTGTGTCCAAGGGGCTGCAGAGGCACAGGAAGGAAGGGGAAGGGTTGTCTTTTATGGGGTCCCTGGGCATCAGGGTCAGAGGTAGAGGACACTGAGTCCAGACCTATGTCTACAGAAGGGACAAACCCAGGCACAGAAGTCCATGACTTTGGCCATCCTTCTAGTCTGAGTGCAGCATCTGCATCGGAGAGCTGTGTTGAGTTGAGGTGTCAGCAGCAGCAATAGAACTGTGCTGTAGCCATCCGTGTGACCGATCACTCTCTGCCCCAGGTATTCACATTGCCCAAGGTGAGTGCCAAGCTGAAGCTGAAGCTGACAGCCCTGGAAGGCTCACGTGTGCGGCGGGTCGGCGTGGCCCACTTCAGCAGCTGTCAAGCCGAGGATTATGGAGAGTACCACCTGGCGGTCCTCACCAACCTGGGCGACATCCAGGTGGTCTCACTGCCTCTGCTCAAGCCCCAGGTGCGCTATAGCTGCATCCGCCGGGAGGATGTCAGTGGTATCGCCTCCTGTGTCTTCACCAAATACGGTCAAGGTGTGCAAGCAGGGCTGGGGCATGTGGGGGGACCCAGGCTGGATGGGATGGGGTAGATGGGGTGTTGTATCCATGGTGAGGCTGGACTGGCCTTGAGAGGGCAGCTATAAGGGAGGCTCCTCTGTAGCTGCAGGGCCAGGAGCCCTGGGCTGGCCTCACCTGCCTTTTCTTCCACTCCCCAGGTTTCTACCTAATCTCCCCCTCTGAGTTTGAGCGCTTCTCTCTCTCCACTAAGTGGTTGGTTGAGCCCCGGTGTCTGGTGGATTCGGCAGAAACCAAGAGTCGCACCCACCCTGGCAATGGGACAGGCCCGGAAAAGGCCTCAGGCTGGGCCAGGTGGGTGGAAGAGCCAGAGGCCTCCCCAGCCTCTCCTGCTGCTTCCCTGTGATGCCTGAGCTCCCTCCACTGACAAGCCAGAGCCCCGTTCCCCACCAGCCAGCCCACCTGCCTTCCCAGGCTCTCTGCACCTCTTCCTGTGACTTCTGTCCCACACAACTGCCAGTCCTGGGTGGGGCTCATTTTACCCACCAGGGTCCCCCTGCTTGGGCCAGCCAGGCCAGCCAACTTTTATTTATTCTTCATGGGAATGGGGCTTTCAGAGCCAGGGGAGGGATCTCAGGAGCCCTGTTTCACTCGCTCTCCCCCCACAGGAACTCAGGGAGCCAGAGTGATGGAGAAGGTAAGACAGGCCTCCAGGGCCACACCTGGGCCACTACTGGAGTTGGATGGGAGGGAAGGGCACCCCCAAATGAGTAGGTAATATCTGGGCTGAGAGGAGAAACAGCATTCCTTCCAGCCCTGGGCTCGGCTTCTGACACCCCTACCTCAGTAGAGAGAACCGGGCAGAGGGCATCCCAGGGCAGGACTTGATTGACCTGGCCTCTACCTTCTAGAGAAGAAGCCAGGCCCCGTGATGGAACACGCTCTGCTCAGTGATGAGAGTGAGTCAAGGCAGAAGTTGGAATCAGAATGGGGGTGGGGGGTCAGGGTGGAACCCCATGGAAAAAAGGTAGAAGGGCTAGTGGCTGGCCAGCCTCACTGGGCCTCCGTTCCACACCCCTGCCCTACAGGAGTCCTGAGGGAGATCCAGAGCACACTGGAAGGGGACCAAGGGTAAGTCACTACTCAGGCCGGGGTGGGGGGGGGGCCACAGCTGTGGAAGAGGGGTTGAGAGAACACTGACAGGTAGGGTCCTCCATGGATGGTGACTTTCTTTCTTTGCTGATGCAGGAGCTATGGCAACTGGCGTTCTCGAGTGGCGGTGGGGTACAGCCTCAGCAATGGGGGAGGTAGGGGCTCTGGCTTTTGGGTACTCCTGGGGTGCAGGGAACATGCTTCCCAGGAGGGAGAGGAGGAGGGGCCCCATGCCCTGCTGGTGTCCTGGAAACCGCAGTGTTCGGGTTCAGGGTGGGCAACTGGGGTGCCTCATTCCACCCACCCTGAGCCACTGTCCCTCTGTGTCCTGCAGCAGAGTGAATTGGAAGGACATCCTGGCTGCATGAAGAGCACACACTACTGAGGGCCCTTCCTCGGGGCCCTGCTTCACTGGGAGAGGCCATGTACAGGGCTGAGCCAGGGGCTGGGACACCCCTGGTTTCTACCCTGAAGCTGCTTCTGGCCTTGGGCGAGGGCAGTTCCCTGGCCCCTGGGGCTGCCCCTGTGGGGCCAGTCTCAGTCCTTTGGTCAATGTTGCACAGTTTTTATTCCTCCCATCCCCTCTTTTTGTAGTGGGCTGGGTTTTAAATTATAAAATTTAACTGCCTCTGGGTGATAAAGTTTTTAATAAACACCTATTACCTCCTCACTGGACTTCTCCACCTGCCATTTCAACTGTGTAGAAATCTTCCCTCTATAAATGCAGAGCTTTAGCCAGAACCCAGCCTTTCCCACTGGGGTCCTGCCTCTCACCCATAAAGGTGATCAGGAGAATCCACGTAAGCTGTTGGTGTGTCTGAGCACCCCTCTGTGTTCACTGGGGACAAATGGCAAACATGAATCATCTTGAGCCTGTGTCCCTCGGTCTGTACTGCCCCAGGCTGGCCTTTCCCTGCTGTCAGGAGGGGAAAACATGGTGACATCTCCGATCCAGTGGTTTCTTCTGGACATCGAGGGGGCTGTGGAGTGCCGCTGAGGTGGGAGCAAAGGCCAGAGGTGAGAGGCCTTCTTCCTGGTGCCCTCTAATGAGGGGCTGGATTAGATGACTGGGAAGGGCTTTAGGTTTTGATCAAACCTGGGCTTATCTTCATTAACCTGTCCTTGAGAACCTATAAATGCCAAGCACGTGAGGTCCTTAGGTGTCGGACACATACAACAACAGTCCTTGCCCTGGTGGGGTTCACAGTCCTTCCCAGTGCAGGAAGTGTTTGGGTGAAGGTGCCCATGAGCAATGCACCTGCAGGGTGACATGCCAGGAACTGACTAGGCAGAGGGTGTGGCAGGCAGCAGACTGTTCTGGGTGGAGGACAGAGGGACCAGCAGCAGGTAGGGAACCTGGCAACTTGCCACAGGAAGGACAGAGAAGCTGGGGGTGGCTGGTAGGAGACTGTGGCAAGAGTGCTGCTCATACCACTGAGGAGAGGCGGAGCTGAGTGCCAGGTGCTGGGCTAGACACCCCAGGCACCCTCCTTGAGAGTACAACTGGCTCAGAAGTCTCTGGGTTTGGGAACTTGGGCCCCTAGCCCATCACCTGTGGCTCCCTGGGAGGTTGAGAAGGGGCTTCTACATGGTCACCTGAGAACCTGAGGGCAAGGACATTGGGTAAACAGAAACCAAGACAGAGACTGACAAACACCCAGCAAGGTGCCTGAAGGAATCTGGGTTTTATCCTGAGGCAATGGAAGCATCTGAAGAGTTTAAGCAGAGAAGGGCTGGGTCTTTGGTCTGTACATCAAGGACACCATATCCCAGAGAGCTGGACTGACCCACCGTAGAATATGGACAAATTGTGTCGGTTTGTTTTTTTTTCTTTTGAGACAGAGTCTCACTTTCTCACCCTTGATAGAGTGCCGTGGCAGCATCACACAGCTCACAGCAACCTCCAGCTCTTGGGCTTAGGTGATTGCGGCAGCCTCCCGAGTAGCTGGGACTACAGGTGCTTGCCACTACACCCAGCTATTTTTTTACTGTGGTTTGGCTAGGGCTGGGTTTGAACCCACCACCCTCAGTATATGGGGCTGGCGCCCTACTCACTGAGCCACAGGCACTGCCCTGCCTTTTTTTCTTTTTATGAAACAGTTTAACTCTGTCACCTGGCATCCTCATAGCTCACCGCAACCTCAAACTCTTGGGCTCAGCTTCTGAGTAGCTGAGACTACAGGCACCCATCACCACACCCTGTTAATTTTCTTCCTTTTATTTATTTTTTTGAGGCAGAGTCTCATTTTGTCACCCTTAGTATAGTGCCATGGCATCATAGCTCACAGCAACCTCAAACTCTTGGGCTCAAGTGATCTTGCCTCGGTTTGTCATTTTTACTAGAGATGGGGTTCTCACTCTTGCTCAGGCTGATCTTGAACTTGTGAGCTCGAGTAATCCACCCGCCTTGGCTTCCCAGAGTGTTAGGATTACAGGCATGAGCCCCCATGCCTGGCCATTTTCCTAGTTTTAGTAGAGATGAGGTCTTGCTTTTGCTAAGGCTGATCTCAAACTTATGACCTGCTTTGGTCTTCCAAAGAGGTAGGATTATAGATGTGAGCCACTATGCCTGGGTTTTTAACTGAATTTAAGGAGATATATAGTTTGTTTTATTCAGCTAAACACACAAATGGGCAAATAACATGATGTCTCCTGCCAAGAGACCAAGGTTGAAGATAATGGTGATAATGCAAGCACCAGAGCCGGAAGAAAATGGTAGAGCCTGCATGAGGGTAGAGCCCCTCATGACTCAGAGGGGCTTCATAGCTATAGCAATGGTCTGGCTGATGAAATTGTATCAAAGCAAATACAACCCTGAAAATATCAGTAAGACTTTAAAAAATGGATTCCCCTCCATACTTATTAACAATGAGCTTTGCCATGAGCATGCTATGCTTTAAGGTGTTAGCTAATTCAGTGGTTTTCATGTTTCAGTTCTAAGAAAATACTCTCATTCTGGGAGTGTGAGATAAAAAACTTTCATTGAGGGCGACACCTATGGCTCAAAGGAGTAGAGTGCCAGCCCCATATGCTGGAGGTGGTGGGTTCAAACCCAGCCCTGGCCAAAAACTGCAAAAAACAAAAAAAAAAACCCTCTTATTGATGGATGTACATAAATGGAAGGGCTTGGCATCCTCTTCTCCTAAAAGTGGATGGGAAAGCTGGGCTGGGCGGGGTGCAGTGGTTCACGCCTGTAATCCTACCTAGCATTCTGGGAGGTTGAGGGGGATAGATTGCTTGATCTACCCACCCAGAGATTGCTTGGTCTCATGGGTTTGAGACCAGCCTGAGCAAGAGCAAGACCCTATCTCTAAAAATAGCCAGACATTGTGGAGGTTGCCTGTAGTCCCAGCTACTTGGGAGGCTGAGGCTAGTGGATTGCCTGAGCTCACAGGTTTGAGACCAGCCTAAGCAAAAAGACCCTGTCTCTAAAAATAGCCAGGTGTTATGGCAGGCACCTGTAGTCCCAGCCTCAAACTCTGGGGCTCAAGTGATCCTCTTGCCTCACCCTTGAAGTAGGCTGAGGCAAGAGGATCACTTGAGCCCCAGAGTTTGAGGTTGTTGTGAGCTGTGATGCCACAGCACTCTGAGTTGTCAAAGTGAGACTCTGTCTCAAAAAAAAAAAAAGGAAGCTGGGCTGGCACAGGGAGAGGAGCTGGAGGTTGTCACAGCAGTCCAGGAAAGAGGTGGTGGTGGGACGGGGCATTGAGGGGCTGAGTTAGACAAAGACGGCTGCCACATGGGAGAAGGCAAGTAGGTAGGAGGGTCCGTACTGACTCCAAGGGCCCTGGAGATGTGCAACTGGATCTATAGTCTGAAGATGTAGATGTGAGGGTCTTGGCATCCAAAGAGGTAAATGACTTAGTGTTCATTTAGACTTTGAAGTCAGACAGATCCAGCCCATCTGTGGCTGTGACTTTCCTGTGGCTGGCAGTGTGACTTGGGGTAGACAACCTTGCTCCTATGTCTTCATTTACTTGTCCATAAAAATGGGCATAATAATGAGGCCTTCCTCAGTGGGCTGTGAGGGTTAAATGAGAGCTTGTAAAATCACATAGCTCTTAGCCCCTAGTAAGTACTCAACCAAAAGAGGTGAAAGTCACCGTGGACAGTGGGTAAGTCCAGGAGAGGAGATAGCTTTGAGAGTGGAGTAGGAAAAGGTTCACACACAGCCCCAAGGAGGCATTCACAATGCTTGGGAGCAAGGCAAGCAAGAAGTGAAAGGAACAAGTTGGCTTAGGGGGTGGCCCATTTCCTCTGGTGTCCAGATTAGCCAGGTTCTCTGGAAGTTGTTCAAGGTCCCACTGCCAGGAGCTGGAGTGGGGGAACCAAGAGAACGTCCCCCATAGCTGGGAAGGGAGGACCAAGGCTGTCTGGTTCCAAAGCTGATTATCAGCAGAAGAACCCTGGGTTCAGCAGAATAGTGATACTAAGGATCTGAATGTGGTCTCCAATTCCTCATTTACTGGCTATGTGTCCTTTAGCTACCCCACCTATCTGAGCCATTTCTTTATCTGCAAAATAGCCTGAGCCCCCTCCTAAGGTTTAAGTGAAATGCTTGGGAAGGCAATGGGGGCTCAGAGGATAAGAAGCTTGCCATGCCCACCCAGCTGGGTGAGATATTAGCCCTGGCCTGGGTCAACAGCAAGGAGAGGAGGGCACCCACGGAGGCAGAAGTTTGGACAGGGGCACAGAGCTGAAGAGCTTGTCCTAAACTCACAGGACACGTTGTAATGGAGCCACTGAGGAACCAGAGCTCAGTTTGCATGGTGGAAACTAGCTAGCCCCTGTGGAATACAATTGACAGGAGGCCAATTGTATGGCCAATTGTATGACAGGTTGATTTGGACTGAGCTCCTGCATTAGCCCCAACAGACCAAACCAAAATGGAGTCCAATGTGGAACTTGCTAAAGTTCCACACCACTGAGCTGAATACTAAATTGTTTAATCTGACCTTTCACGAAATCAAAGAGAGAGAACGAGATAATAGTCAAATCCCCAAACAGGCCAGTTTTAGCCAGCGTGATAGAGGCCCCCTCTGCTTTAACCTGTACAAGGAAAGTCATTTTGAAACAACCAATCTGCTTTTTGTTTTCTGCTTTTCTTAGCCTTTTCTGTCTATAAAGCTCACTCCACTGTTCATCTCATCTTAAACATGAATCTACTACTTTTTTGAGATGAGGTCTCACTATATTGTCCAAGCTAGTCTTGAAGTCTTAAGATAAACAATCCTCCCTCCTCAGTCCCCTGAGTTGCTGGGACTACAGCACTTCACCTGGCTTCAACATTCATCTATTTTATAGAATGAGGTGTTGTCCAATTCCAGAATCACAAGTAAAAATCCAGTGAAGATTTTTAAACTAAATTTGTTGGGATTTTATCTTTTGATAAGGGGCCTTTGCAGCCAGACTGCCTGGGTTGGCCTCCCTACCTCTGACCCTCAATAGCTGTGCCTCAGTGCTATCACTCATAAAATGGGCATCCTAATAGCACCAACTTCTAGGGGTGCTTTCAAGGATTAAGTGAAATCATAGTAAAGTGCTCAGAATCACATCTTAAGCCCTGAAGGGCCAGCTATTTGCTATTATTAGTATATTGGTGTTTTTGTTTGTCCAGGGCAAAACAGTGAGCTTTTTATCTTTATCTTTTATCTGAAGGAAGGTGCTATAATCTGGAATATTTCCTCCCCTGCTCTGTGCTGGGTGGTGCTGATGGGGAGGAGACGCCAGAGCCCCTGGTGGAGTCACAGGAGTCTCTATGGGGCATGTCACAGGTCCTGGCAGGACGGCTCATCTGACTCCATCTTGGTATCCCTTATCCCGCCCAGGCAGCATCTGCCTTGCCCAGGGGGCTCTTGAGTGGCTTCCCACATCCAGCCTGGGTTTAGCTACAGTGTAACCAGCTCACATCAAGAGATTAGGTCTCAGGAAAGGAAGCACAGTGGTTTTAAGAGGGGGTAGCTGCTTATTTTCACAGAGAAATGAATTTAACAAAGCCCTGGGATTTTTTTTTCTTTTTTGAGACAGTGTCTCACTTTGTCATCCTTGGTAGAGTGCCGTGGCATCATAGCTCACAGCAACCTGAACCTCTTGGGCCCAAGAGACCCTCTTGCCTCAGCCTCCCAAGTAGCTGGGACTACAGGTACCCGCTACAACACCCAGCTCTTTTATAGAGACAAGGTCTTGTTCTTGCTCAGGCTGGTCTCAAACTCATGAGCTCAAACAATCCACCACACTCAGCCTGGCACTGAGATTTTATCACATTTCCTTTTTTGTTGTTGTTTTCCTTGAGATAGAGACTTGCTCCATCACCCAGGCCAGTGTCAGGACCTCAGCCTAACTCATAGCAACCTCAAACTTCTAGGCTCAAGTGAACCTCCTCCCTCAGCCTCCCAAGTAGCTGGGAATACAGAAACACACCTCCATGCCTGGCTAATTTTTTTATTTTTAGTAGAGTTGGGGGGGGCGTCTTTTGATTAGGTTGATCTCGAACTCCTGACCTCAAGCAATCCTGCCTCAGTCTCAGCCTCCCAGAGTGCTAGGATTACAGGCATGAGCCACCATGTGCTGCCAATGTGTCATGTTTCAAAGCGTAAAATATGTTGGGTATACCATGCATGAATGGTATGTGGGAAGAGTGGTATCCCATCTTATTGGTGAAAGTGTAAACTAGAACGACCCTCATGGAGATAAACTTGGATATCTCAAAATTAAAAATGCATGTGCCCTATGGTTCAGCAATTCTATTTCTAGGAGTTGATTCTACATGGATGCAGGTGAAATTATATTCTAGTGTTTGTAATCTAAGCAAAAGATGAGATGAAGGCAGCATCCACTTAGGAAGTAAAAACTTCTCGGTAAGGAATTGGCTAATCTATGGTGCAGTCATTTGCTGGGATACTATGAGAGAGGGGGAGAGAGTTGGAGCTCCAGTATAAAGAAAGAAAGGGAATCTCTGTGCAATATTTTCTATTATTTCTATTTTTATTTTCATTTCTATTATTATTCAAGCCTACAGTGAACTGTGACCATTCCAGCCTAGGCCATAGAAGGAAACTCTGTCCCTTAAAAATAATAATTAAAATTTAATCACCAAGTTAAAAAGTGAAAAGATGAAAAGACCCGTGAGCAAATAAGCTTCCACTTGTGAGAAAGAGAAAAATAAAACAATGTTTGCTTTTCTCTGCATGGATAGGGCCGGAAGGAAATACAGGAATGGTAATCTCAGGGGAAATTGAGTAGCTGAGCCTCAGGAATGGAAGACATCTACTTTGTGAATTTTGAATTATGTGACCGTTTTACCTGTTCAAAAAATAAATATTTAAAAAACACACACATTGGGAGTTTATGGGGTGTGGTTCTGTTCCATGACTACAGGGGGGTACACAGGCATTTGTTTTATGCCAGTTCTGGGTATGCATTTATGTTTTATGTGCTTTCCAGTAAATTATGCATAAAAATTGGAAAACAACCTAAGGAAAGTCATGGAGTGCAGCTGTGTGCCACGGTGGGCCTGCTCCCAACCTCCTAGAACCTTCAGGATGCTAGAAGAGTCTCAGGCAGGTTCCCTCACCCACCCCCACCCTGGTTGCTGGGCAAACACTGAGGTGAAAGCGGAGTACGGGCTTCTCCGTCTGGCACGGTGCCATGCCCGTCCGGCTGGGCAGGATGGTTGCCCTGTCTGGGGCCTTTGTCCACAGCTGCAGCGTCTCCTCTTTCCTGGGCTGCTTCAGCTCCATTGTTGGTCGAGTGGGTCAGGACCCGCTGCCTCCTGCATTATTGATGCTGTGGGTAAGACAGGAGCCCTGGGCATGGGAGAGGCTGAGCCTGTAGCCCGGGGTAGCGCACTGCACAGGTGGAGGGCACCTGCGGGCAACCAGATTCTGGGGAAGAGAGGACCGAAGCGTTGGGATGCCAAATTTCTCTGTGTCTGTTATGGGCCGGAACAAGGGAAAAGCGTCCCAACGCCCCGCGAAGCCCAGGACACCAGCCTCCGGGGAACAGGAGTCCGGATCAGCCAGCACAGATGGCGTGCCCAGCCAGGAACACCGACACGGCCTCAACAAGAGCCATGGGGTGAGACAGGCCACGGAGCCCGCCATCACTGGGAGCCAGGGGACCTCTGGGGGCAGCAGGAAGCCCAGTGACTTCCAGTGCAAACTGCCAGAGGCTGGGCGGCCACCGGAGGTTCAGGAGAGGAAAGGCAGTACGCCGTATCAAAGACGCGGGCCCAAGGAGAGAAGCGAGCTTGGGGACAGCTGTGAGGGGCTCCTGGAGGAGGACAGCCTTCCCCAAGGAGAAGGGCAGACAGGCAAGAGCAGCCACCGCAAGAAGAGAGGGAAGCGGCGGGGACCCTCAGCTCGGCGGGGCCACCAAGCGACCAAGAGCCTCGATGAGGACACGTCGGGCGGCGACGGAGGCACATCTTGCCCAGACAGCGAAGCCCGCGAGGCACTGGAGAGCGGCGGACACAAGAGCGGGGCCCCAATACTGCGGCCCAAGCCGGAGCCATCGGACACAGAATGGACCAACACCGGGCCGGAGTCAGCGCCAGAGCCAGGCGAGCGCCAGAGCAGCGATGGCCTGAGCAGCGATGAGCCCCCAGCTGAGTCCTGGAGCCCGGAAGAGTCTTCTGGGGCAGGGCCCCAGACAGCGAGTGAGGACTCCAGGACAGACGCCGCCGATTCTAGTCTGCAGGGGGCTGGGCCTGGGCAGGGCCCACGTGCAGCCCCGGGATCTTCAAGCAGGGCCTCTGAGGCCCAGAAGGTCAAGCCGGATGAAAAAGCCACCGCTTCTAGGCCTCTCAAGGGCAGCAGAGCGCGCTTTTCCAGGAGCTCCCGGGCTCCTCGGGACACAGGGCCAGCTTGGGACGGGAGTGTCAAAGAAGCGCACCACGGCGATGAGCCTGAAACAGCCCAGGCTTCGACCTCCCGGGCTCTCCGCCGCCAGGTCGGAAAGGTGGTGGGGAAGGTGCAAGTGGTGGCGGGCGAGAGCGAAGCAGGAGCCGGAGGAATAGACGAGTCAGGGGACCCAGCGTCGATGGACGCCCTCGTGGTGGTGAGCAGGCTCCGCGCAAGACCCCCGCCAGGCTCTGCTCCTGAGGCCGTGGGTCCCCGATGCTCCAGCCTCCGGGAGCGGTTCCTGCGCGTAGCACGAGCACTGGGCTTCCTGCGACGGCTGCGGCTCTGGTCGTGGAATAACCAAGGACAGGTGCCCCAGCCTGGGGCGGGCGGGGAACTGGGGGCTGGGCCGCCGGCCAACGAGAGGCGGGGCCGCCGGCCAGCACTGCGGCGCCGCCTTGCGTTGCGCCTCGCGGGTTTAGCAGGGTTGGGGGGTTGGCCGAAGGCTCCCCCTGGCGGCGGCTCAAGGCCCCCGCAAAACCTGAAGCGCCCAGACCCAGATCACCCTTCCGACCAGGAGGACCCGACTCCAGATCCCAGGTTCGCGGTCGTGTTCCCTAGGATCCACAGGGTGGAGAGGGCGTCGATCAGTCGGAGCTCTGGAGAAGCTTCCGCGGACGTCCCTACGGGGGAGGGCTGCGTTTGGCCCCATGCAGGGGCCAGAGGTGACAGTGAGGGTCGCACAAGAAGTGGGGAAGGGGTGGCCGGGCCCTGCCGCGGCTCCCTCCTTGCTCCGACCGCTCCCGACCGGCTCCCTCTCAACCAGAGCGGCTCCAGCAGTGAAGCGGAGCCGGAGACCCTGGAAGCTGAGACTCCAGAAGCTGAGACCCTAGTACACTGGGCGCAGGACTTGGGCCCATGCAAAGACCCTGAGCTTGGCACTGTCATACTGCTGCCCCAACTTGCCTTAGAGACCCGCTTACAGCGGGAAAGGAACCTCGGCCGGTGTAGGTCCCTAAGGGAGCGGTGGGAGCCTGAGGATGAGGCAGAAGCAGCTCTCGAAAGAGACCTGGAGCTGAACCTCGGCCAGAGCTTGGAGGCGCTGCCCTTCCTTGGTGGCGAGGGTGGGGGCCCTGGAGACGGCCTGGAGGACACTGAGGACCTGGCCCGGCTACAGTGAGCAGCATCATTCCCTATCAGCCATCACTGGCTCAGGGTTCCTTGCATCCCACCCTGCCCTCATCTTTATAAATTGTATAGACCCTATGAGCCTCTGAAGAGTGTTGTCCCAGGTCAGTCCTTCTGCCTGGAAGGGGCAGGAGAGGGTGAGTCAGGTGCAGTCAGCACAAGACTTCCCTCTGAGACAGTGTCTGATTCTGCTTGTCCTTAATGGCACAGTCCCTATGGTATGGGGGAGGCTCTGGGAGGTTGGTGGCAAAGCTAACCTGTAGCTTCCTCCACCCTCATCTGCTCGCCCTCCTCCCTGCTATCCCCACAGGCTGGTGTGTGACAGCTCTGTGCTGCTGTGCCTCAAGAAGAGATTCCACCGGGGTCGCATCTATGTATGGGGGAGAGAGGGAGGGACTAGGGGGCTGGGATTTCCTCTCCCCAGGGGACACCGGGCTTCCCAGAACCCTTTCCTCTTTTCCTTCCTCTTCCTCTTGGGCTGGGAGGTAAACTCTCTCTGGGACCTGCTGAGCGGGGCTGGGCTGGGGCACCTTGGAGCCCCTGACCCCTCTACACTCTGATGAGAAATTCTGCTTTCTTTCCCAGACCTTTGGGGGGCCCCTCCTGCTCTCTCTGAACCCCCACCAGCCCCTGCCTCTCTTCTCACCTGAGGTCTTGGCCAGCTACCACCCCAGGAAGGCCCCCAACACCACCCCGTATGTGCCTTTGCCTCTTTGAGCCTCTGCCCACCTCCCAGGCGGCCAAGCCCCAGGGTATCCCATTGACCCAGGTCCTGGGGCCTGTGGGTATGTCCTAGTACAACTAAGAGGGCCCCAATGCCTGTCTCTGGCAATGTTCTCATCTCCTCCTATCCTCGTCCCCCAGGCACATCTTTGCCATGGTGGCATCAGCCTACAGCCTGTCTCAGAGCCCTGGGAAGGAGCCCTGCATCCTCCTGGTGTAAATTATGGCTACCCTGCTTAGCTGAATCCACAGGCCACACTAAGGGGTGGTGGGGCAGGACATGAGGTCTGTACTTGAACCTGTGGGTCTGGTCCACTCCTGGGCTGCAGTTCTGGACTTCATTAGGGCCATACTCCTGGCTAAAGTCATTTCATGCATACCAGGGAGGTGGCATCTTGGGCACTTTTTTCTGTTTGGTCTCCAGGCTGTGGGTCTTATCTTTCTGCATTTCCAAGGGTCTCCCCCAGGGTGGGTGTCACTTCCCAGTAGCATATCTCTGTTTTCCAGATTCAATGAGGTGGTCCTACATGCCTCTTCCTGGAGACCCTACTAGTCTCCACCACCACTCCATCCTTAACTCCTCCCTCTTGCAGTGGGCACAGTGGCTCAGGGAAGACAGAAGCCACCAAAAAGATTGTGCAGTTCCTAAGCAGCCTGGAGCAGGAGCAGATGAGAGACAGAGGGTGTCAGGTGAGGGCTAAGCTGGAGGTTGGAGGCTCATAGACCAAACTGGCTACCTGTCTTCCTCTGGGAGACAGCTGGCCATTGGTCACCCAGGGATCCAAAAGGGACTGTCCTTGACTTCTGGACCAGGAGGAGGAGGGTAGTTTCAGGCCTCTGCTCCTTGTGGGGTCAGCACCAGGCATTGCCTCTTCTAGTGGGATTGACTTCCCCAAGGACCCATCCCAGCCAGCAGGAGTGGAGTACTCTCAGCTGGAGGGCCTAATATGTGGGCACCACTGCTGTCCCAGGGACACCTGAAACCCCACCTTCCCCATTTAGCTGGAGGACGTGCTGCCTGTGCTCAGCAGCTTTGGCCATGCCAAGACCATCCTCAATGCCAACTCCAGTCGCTTTGGCCAGGCCTTGTGCCTCTGCCTGCAGCAGTGAGTAACAGGGGTCCAGCTGGGCACAGGGGCCACCTGTGGTCAGTGACGTTTACTAAAAACCTGAGGTTGCGGCTCAGCGCCTGTGGCTCAAGCGGCTAAGGCGCCAGCCACATACACCTAAGGTGGCGGGTTCGCATCCCCAGCCCGGGCCTGCCAAACAACAATGATGGCTGCAACCAAAAAAATGGCCAGGCGTTGTGGCAGGCGCCTGTAGTCCCAGCTACTTGGGAGGCGGAGGCAGGAGACTCGCTTGAGCCCAGGAGTTGGAGGTTGCTGTGAGCTGTGATGCCATGGCACTCTACCCAGGGGGATAGCTTGAGGCTCTGTCTCAAAAAAAAAAAAACCTGAGGTTGCTGCCTTGAGAAGTCCCTATTTTTGTACACTCTGGGAAGCCCCTCCAACTTTTGTGTCCACAGCGGGGTCATCGTGGGAGCCTCTGTGACACATTATCTCCTTGAGACCTCAAGGGTGGTGTTTCAGGTAAGGGACACCCTGCTGCCCACCCCTTCCTAGCTCCTAGGATGGGAAAGACAGAGGGGACCCCTGTAGGCCCCTAAGCCCCCAGGCCAGTGTGCCCCTAAGCCAGTCCTCCTCCCAAAGGCTCAGGCTGAGCGGAGCTTCCATGTATTTTACGAGCTACTGGCAGGTTTGGAGCCCTTGAAACGGGACCAACTCTCTCTTCAGGGACCAGAGACCTACTACTACCTCAATCAGGTAAGGACAAGCCTTGTGGTATAGAGGAGAGGGCCTGCCCAGAGAAGGGTCTCTGCCCTGGGGTTTGAAGAGGAGCTGGAGTACAGGGAAGCTGGCAGGTGGCCAGGCCCTGGCCCAGCCCTGCTGTGCTCTACAGGGGCAGGCCTGCCAGCTCCAAGACAAGGATGATGCCCAGGACTTCACACGGCTGACAAAGGCCCTGCAGGTGCTGGGCTTATGCTCTGAGGAGTTGACCATGGTGTGGGCTGTGCTAGCCACCATCCTGCAGCTGGGCAACATCTGCTTCTCCTCTTCAGAGGTGGGCTCCCCCTGTGGCAGGGGCCAGTGTGGGTGTGGGGTGGCTTGTTTGCGTTATCAAGGCAATGATGGTGCCACCATCATTCTGGAAAGTAGTCAGGGCCCCATCATCCATATGACAGTTCTGGAGAGTCTGTATCTCCCCTGATGTCTCTGCCACTAAGCTGTCACCTCTGGGAAGAATACCTGGCATTAAACAAGCAGCTATTAAGTGCCCGCTTTACTGTATAAATCGTTTCACATTTATTTTCTAATTTAGCTCTCATGAAGATCCCATCATGCCGTAAGAGTTACTATTGCCTTCTCACAACAAAGCAATGGGGTCTGGGGGAGATTTTCCAGAGCCATCCAGCTAGTAAAGAAAGTCAGACTCGCACTCAGGGCCCTCAGACCCACAGCCTGGCTTGTCAGAGCCCAGATCTTCCCTGTGCTATCGTCCTTTGGGTACACTTTCTGAGCAAAGCAAGGCCCTGCCCTACTCTGGGGAATGTGTCCATTCCTCAAGCAGAGCTCTCCCTGTCCCTCCTTTCTCTGTCCAGTGGGAGTCCCAAGAGGTGGCTGCTGTGTCCAGCTGGGCCGAGATCCATGCAGCAGCCCAGCTGCTACGGGTGCCACCAGAGCGCCTGGAAGGGGCTGTCACCCGGAGGGTCATGGTGAGCCCAAGTTTCCTGGGCAGGGGGCCCAACTTTCCCACCCACAGGCTGGGTGAGTGCCCTAAGTGCCATGGGCCTGACTAACCACATGCACCCTTTTACTCTCCAGGACACACCCTATGGCCGGGTCTCACGATCCCTGCCAGTGGAAAGTGCCATTGATGCCAGGTGGCCCTGGGGACAAGAGAGAGCCAGAGCTGGGCCTGGTGCTCTGCTCAACATGGCTCACTGACCGTGCCCACAGGGATGCCCTGGCCAAAGCCCTATTCTCACGGATTTTCAACTGGCTTCTGATGAAGATCAATGCACGGCTGGCACCACCTGGGGAGGGAAGCAGCACAAGCACCATCACTGTCGTGGATGTCTATGGCTTTGAGGTCACCCCTTGGGGTGGGGTCCACGATGGGTAGTGCCCATCTCATTCTCATGCATTTCTGGGGACCCTTGCTGCTCCAGCTCTCCCTGTGCAGGGCACTTATGAGGTGGAAGGCCTGGAAGTGTGCCTTTATGACTCCTTCCACATCACCTGGGACGGCTGGGCTCAGCCTGCTGTGGCACTGGGGGAGAGAGGAAAGGGAGGGACACTTAGCATCTCAATGAGGAGTCAGGCTGAGACAACCTGGGGTTCTCAGTTCCACTCCTCTCTAGCTGCATGTTTCTGAGAGGAAGATGTTCCTGTCACCCACTCTTCACTTTTTACATAACCTCTCTTCCTTCTCTGGTCCAGCCTGGACTGGTAGCCCTCCTGGCCTCTTTCTGGGAGGGGTTGGAGCCCACTGCAAGCCCCAGACACAGCCCCATGACCTCCTGAGGGGCAGGGTTGCTTAGTGCAGCAGGTGAGAGCAGGCACCCAGGAGCAGTCCTGCCACTTACTAGCTGTGTGACCTCTGGCAAGTTAATTATCATCTTTGAGGCCTAATGTCCCTATCTGTAAGGTAGAACTCATAACAGGACATGCCTCGTGGATTGCAACAGGCTTAAAGGAGATGATTCATGAGAGAGAGCTGCGTGATCCCCGGATTCAGCCATTCAGCCCTGCTCTGTCCAGTCCTGACATTGCCTTTAGATGGTCCTGTCCTGTCCTGCTTGGCCTTGTAGGGACTCGCAGGAGCTTCAAAGGCAGTGGAGGCCCCAGGAGCCTGCAGCCTCACCTCTCACATGCTATGAGCGGAGGAAAGAGGGAGAGTCCCCTAAATCACTCTGAGTTGTCATAAACTCTGTACCCTTTCCAGAAGATCTTACATCCTCAAGGCAGCCAGGACCTCCCCTAGGTCCCTAGATAGGCACTGATCACTGTCTCCTGCTCTTTATGTGTCCTGGATGACCATCCCTTCCCTGAGGATGGCAGTGACTGTGGCAGGGATGTGTGTGTAAGGTGGAGGGTGCACAAAGCTGCGTGAAGTAGGGGCCTTGATGGGCTTTCTAGTAGCATGCAGAGGCAGCACAGAGGAATGAACGCTGGAAGGCTTCCTGGAAGCTGCAGCCTGGAGCTCTGCTTATGATGCGGGATTCTGACAGCTAGTGATCTAGGTGGTAGGAAGAGGCCATGACCAGAGGCCTGGAGGCTCACAGTATGCTGCCGCAGAGGGTAGGAGAGTGGGAGGCTAGAGGAACGCCTGACATGTGGCTGGGCAGGGCTGAGGTCACTTGTGCACTGTGCCAAAGCCTTTGGACTTGACCCTATTGGTGGCAGCATCAGCCCTGAACATCACTCTTCCCCACACCCTGGACAGGATGGGAACCTCTCGGGGAAGCAAGTGAAGGGCACGTGCCTCTGTGCCCCCCTCACTGCCATGTGCTTCCAGGCGCTGCGTGTGAATGGCCTGGAGCAGCTGTGCAACAACATCGCCAGCGAGCGCCTGCAGCTCCTCTGTGGACAAATGCTGCTGGCCCAGGAGGAGGTGAGAGGAGCTGGGCGCTGCACAGAGCAGAGGCCTCCCTGGGCGAAGAAGAGTAGTGAGCTGAGAGTGCAGTCATGCAGGGTGTCTCAGTCCTTCTGCACCTCAGTTTATTCATCCATAAGATGGGAGGGTGATTCCTGCTTCAGCTCAATGAGGCCCCACAGCCATGGACAGGCTTTGAAAATGACCAGATGCTGGCTGTTCCAGGAGGAATGTCAGCGGGAGCTGCTGGCCTGGGTGCCCATCCCTCAGCCTCCACAGCAGTCCTGCCTGGACCTCCTGGTGGACCAGCCCCATAGTCTCCTGAATATCCTGGATGCCCAGACACAACTATCCCAGGTAAGAGCCAGGGCAGTGGGCCCCAATGTTGGGTACAAGGAGTGGGGGCCTTGGGTGGCCAGGCCATAGCCAGTAGGGCCTCAAGAGGGGGAAGCAAGGTTATGGGGTTCAGACATACGGCCTGCAGCCCCTCAGCACAGGCCTGGGAAGGACGCATCCAAGGCGAAGAGCTCTGGGCACCAACAGGGCTGGTTCAGACCTGTCTCTGGGTGATCTTGAACATGATACCCGCCCTCCATAGTTGGCAACATCCTGGACACAGAGGATGACCATAGTTTTCGAAGGGCAGGATGGTGGGGACTGCACAGGGCTCACAAAGTACTTATGCAAGTCCCTTCCAATTGTGGCCAGATGCCACTCAGGTCCCTAACTAGGAGGGAACAAACCTCAGGGCCATGGTACACCCCTTCCACAAATACCTCCTGACTGCCTCCTACCTGCCCTGACTGAAAGAGCCCCGTTGCTCTTCAGCTTCATCCCTACTTCATGTAGGTATATGTATATTTTTTGGAGACAAGAGTAGAGCGCTGTGCCATCATAGCTCACAGCAACTTCAGACTCTTGGGCGCAAGCGACCCTCTTGCCTCAGCCTCCTGAGTAGCTGGGACTATAGGCACCCTCCACAACACCTGGCTACTTTTAGAGAGGAGGTCTCTATTTTTAGAGAGATGCCTGGCTACTTTTAGAGAGAAGGTCTCTATTTTTAGAGAGGAGATCTCTCTTTAGCTCAGGCTGGTCTCCAACTCATGAGCTCAGGAGATCTTCACACCTTGGCCTCTCAGAGTACTGGGACCTACTTCATGTTTTTCAAATTTATTTTATTTTTATTTCTTTATTCTTGTTGCCCGGGCTGGAGTGCAATGGCTATGTCACAAGTGTATCATAGGTCACTGCAACCTGGAACTCCTGGGTTTGAGTGATCCTTCTGCCACAGCCTCCTGAGTAGCTGGCCCAGGAGTTCAAGGCTGTGGTGAGCTGTGATAGCTGTGATCACACCACTGCATACCTGGCCTGTCTGAGCAACAGAGTGAAACCCAGTCTCAATAAATAAATAAATAATAAATAGCCAAAGTCATTGGGAGAGTCATTTATAAGGAATTGAATATGGAGCAACTCTTCCTGTCTTAGGAATAAGTTGGGGGACCTCCCTTATATGCCATGTGTGGGGTCCCAGGGAGGGAGCAGAGCCCAGACAGAGGAACAGCATGTGCAAAGGCCTGAGGGAGGCACATCTGTCCCAATTATCAGGCCACAGACCACACCTTTCTCCAGAAGTGCCACTATCACCACAGTGAGCACCCGCGCTATGCCAAACCCCAGCTGCCATTGCCGATCTTCACCGTGTGGCATTATGCTGGGGCTGTCACCTACCAGGTACCTGGGCTCAGGGACAGACTCTAGGCAGTGTGAAGTCATCTGGAAGCTGAGAGGAGTGGGTGAGGGGAGGTCCCTGGTAAGGCCTGGCCATCTGTCCCCACCTGGGCCATTGGCCTACCTGGTTCTAGGCAGGACCTAATGAGTTCTGGTGAGAACTGTAGGGTGCTGGCATCCAAGCCTTGGGATCCTCCAGACGGAAGAGAGCAGAGCACATACAGAGATGGGGGTCTGATAACCTAGGCAGTTGTCTGCTTTCTGAGCCTCCATTTCCTTATCTGTAAAATGGGCGTGGAAATCTGTCCCATGGTGTTATTGTGAGGGATAAATCCAATAACACAGGGATGGCCTGGCAGGTACCTGGCACATAGTAGCTGCTCACTGAATGGACTCTCCTTTCCTCCTTCTGAGTTCCATGTCTCCCAGGAAACCTGCCTTCCTCCCCTAGGATGGGAGGGAGCTGGTGTACTGGGAAGGACGGTGCCACTGGTCTCAGGTAGGGAGAGTCAGGAAGGGCTCCCTGGAGGATAAGGCACACTCTGGTTGTGGAAGAAAAAACACGAACTACCCAGGAATCACCCATAAAGAAATAGAAGGAGTTGGAATAAAGAAAACTATGAAACTGTGAGTCAAAAATGAAGATTCAACAAGGGAGAGACAAACGATGTTCCTGTGGGGCAGCATTAACATTGTCCGTTCATTCCTGGTTAATCTAGAAAAGAAACCCAAAAATTATTCAGAAGTTTTATCTGGAGAAGAAATGTCTAAAAATGACCAATGAAATGTTGAGAAGGCAGAGAGGAAGGAGGGTTCTGCTTTACCAGATAATAGAACATAGTTTAAGGCGCAGAAGAAAGAGAAAGGCATTGCTAAGGAAGGGACGATCAATGGACTGAAAGTCCAGCAAAGATCCAAGGTCCTGCAAAGGACTGGCTACATGGCAAGGTGGCCTTTTAAATCCCCTTGGGAGAGGCTGATCGTAGAGGAAGGAGCCGGCCTCCTCACCAGCCTTCTCTCCCCTCCTGGTCCTCCCCCATCCTACATTGCCGCTTGCAGGTTCACAAGTTTTTAAATAGAAACCGGGATCACCTGGACCCAGCCGTGGTGGAAATGCTTGGCCAGAGCCAGCTCCAGGTGCCCTGCCTGCCCTCCTGGTGTCCACCCCCTCCATACTCCCTCCCCCCCATTCTGTCCATCTTCCCTGACACTCTTGCCTGAGGGGCTGGCTGGGAGGGGAGCTGGCTCAGCCTCCTTGCCCGCAGCTGGTGGGCAGCTCATTCCAGGAAGCAGAGCTGGAGCCCAGGGAAGGCCAAGGCAGACCCACGCTGGCTGCCCGCTTCCAGAAGGCTCTGGGGGACCTCATGGCCCAGCTAGGCAGGTAAGAACAGCATCCCCCACACCAGAGCCCTGGGACTGGCCTGTACCCAAGTAATCCCTATTTCACTCCTTAGAAGCCACATCTATGTCATCCAATGCCTGAACCCCAACCCTGGGAAGGTGAGCCCCAGGTGCCTGGTCCCCAGAGGCCCCGCCCTGCACCTCTTGCCCCGTAGTTCTAGGCCCTTTGGCTCTAGCTCTCCTCTGCCCTGTCTCATGGCCATAGCTCCCAGGCTGCTTCGACGTGGGACATGTGGCTGAGCAGCTGTGCCAGGCAGGTGTCCTGGAGGCCGTGGGTGCCCGCAGTGCCAACTTCCCAGTGCGTGTGCCCTTCCAGGCCTTCCTGGCCAGGTAGGGCCCTGCCTAGGGGCAGCACTGACAAGGAAGCCCCTGGCATAGTGGACATAATGGCTTGGGGTCCTTCCAGGTGGAGATGAGATGGGCCTGGCACCCAACCTCCCTCCTCTGCCCCTCTATCCATCCCTCTTTCTCTGTCTCCCTCTTCTCTCTCTCCTACCCTCATCTTTCTCTCCTTCGCTCATCTTTCTGTCCCTCACTGCTCACCATCCCTCCCTTCACGCACTCCTCATTCTCCACCACACATCTCTCCTCACCCTGGGACTGGAGATGAGGTGGGGCGGCACCCGCCTTGGGCTGTACTCACTCAGTGGGTGTCAGAAGGTGCTGGCAGAAGGTAGGACAGAGCCTTTTAGATGGGAAGGAAGGGTGGCCTTGTGGAGCCAGGCAGAGTAGCATCTGCACAGACGAGGATGGGGTGGTGACGGGGCTGCCGGGAACACCAGAGAAACTGTTCCAAGAGTTCAGAGGCCTCATTTTATTCTGTGCCTATTTGGGTTTGGCCATTGACTGGATGGGCTCTTAGGAACTCTCTGAAGAGCTGGAGTTTTCTCCAAGGACAGGACCTGGGGGCAGGGGTAGTCAGTTATCCTGGTGGAGGTCCAGCTGAGCTGGCTGTGCCTCCAGAGGAGTGAGGGGGCAGCCACCCAGCGCAGCAGCCTCGCCCCAGGCTCTGGTGACATCTTTCGCTCATGACGGCCTTGGTGACCTAGACAGCCTGGCTGAGGGCTAAGCCAGAGGCAGGCAGTAAGGATGGGTATGATGAGAAGTGCCAGGATGGAGAAGGTTCTGTCTCTGCCTTCTGGAAACTTACCTGCTGTAGCAATTGTCACCTCTACCAGGAAGCCCTGAGCCTGCAAGCTGGGTGATAGGACTCACCATGTATAGCTGTCCACGCAGCACAGACCAGGTCTATTTAAATGACCTGTGTTTTTTGTTGTTGTTGTTGTTGTTGTTGCAGTTTTTTGGGGGGTGGGGGCACTGGGGCCAGGCTTGAACCCACCACCCCTGGTGCCCTACTCCTTGAGCCATAGGCACCACCCTAAATGACCTGTTGAAGCACCATCCCCTAGTGTTCTGTGGCTTCCTATGACCACAGACTGTCATCCAAGTGTCCCCAGAACCTGCAGGTGCTTGGTTCAGACTTTATTTTTTTTGAGACAGAGTCTCACTTTGTTGCCCTGGATAGAGTGCTGTGGTGTCATAGCTCACAGCAAACTCAAACTCTTGGGCTTAAGCTATTCTCTTGCCTCAGCCTCCCAAGTAGCTGGGACTACAGGTGCCTGCCACAGCAGCCAGCTATTTTTGGTTGCAGTTGTCATTGTTATTTGGCAGGCCCCGGCTGGATTTGAACCTGCCAGCCTCGGTGTATGTGGCTGGTGCCCTTAGCCACTGAGCTATGGTGCCAAGCCCAAACTAATTATTGAATGTCCTTTGAACCATTGGGCTGGTTGGAACTGTATTAAACACGAACCCACCTCTCTCTCTATGCCCCTCTCCTCCCTCCCTCCACAAGCTGGTCTTGAGACCTTTTGTGTTGTGGGGCAGGCAGAATAGCAGGACGTTGAGACTGAAGCCTCAGGACCATACTCCTGTTGTTCCCTGAACCCCATCTCCCCATTGAGCTCCAGGGGGGCAGCGGCCCAGTGTCCTATCTCGTCTTTGTGCCTAGCTGAGCACTTAGCATATAGCAGATGCTTTCCAAATTGTTCAGTGACCTAGAAACTGAGTAATACCAAGGGGGTGAGGTGTCAAACAAATGTGAAAGGCAGTACTTGCTGTACTGGCCTTGGCTCTCCATCCTTGGGGCAGGTTCCAGGCACTGGGGACAAAGAGGCAGGAAAACCCTTCTGACCGGGAGAGGTGTGGCACCATCCTGGGCCAAATGCTGGGGGCTGAATCGCTGCTCTATCACCTTGGAACTACCAAGGTGGGGGGGCATGTCTGTGTGTGCCAGGGGGTTAGGGGGCTGGAGAGTGTGACACATGTGGAAAGGAGTGGCACATCCTGGGGTTTGGTGGTCCTCCCGAGTGAGAGGCAGAGGGCCCTGGGCAGCAGGCAGTCCCAGGCACGCTAGAAGCACAGATTGTCTGGAAGGAGAGAAGACTGGGGCCCATCCCAAAACCCACACCCACCTCTGCCCCCAGGTCCTACTTCGGGAGCAGGGCTGGCAGCGGCTGGAGCAGCTCTGGGCCCAGCGGCGCTCCCAGGCCCTGTTCACCCTGCGCCGTGGTCTGCAGGCCTGTATCTTCCGCCAGCGCCTCCGCCTCCTGCCCCGGATGCAGGCTCGTGTGCGTGGGTTCCAGACCAGGTCTGTAGGTGCTGCTACCAGGGCAGAAGTGGGGTGAGGTTGTGGGCTCCTCCACAAAGTGGTAGGGCAGCGGGGTGGGGAGGTATAGGGTCTCAAGGCAAGTCTACCTACCCCAGGCCATCAGCACCTGACTCCCACCCATACCCATGCAATCTCTGCTTGAATACTCTCAATCAAGAGAAGCTCGTTACCTGCTGGAGCCACCGGAAGTTACGGTCCTGATTCTTTGGTTGTTCTCTTCTGCTCTATACTCCACTCTACAGCAAGAATGATCTTTTCAGAGCAAGAGTCAGGGCTGCCTACCCCTGTAGCCTCCAGCCACTTTGGACTTCTCAGTCGCAAAAGGCTCCTCTGCCTTTCTCACTTCATTGTCTCCTGTTCACCTGCACAGTCTATCTGCACTGTCCTCTGTCTGGCCATCTGCTCCATCTACCTTGAGCCAGACACTGGCCACACAGGGCTGGAAACTGTGGAGATGGCGGAGATGTTGGAGATGGCGCCTCCAGGGCTAGGTGGGGAATCGGATTTAGGTGGTGAACCAGCTGCTGAACACCCTTCAGGGTAGCTTGAGGGCTGAGAATAAAGTAAAGCAGAACCAGGGTGGGGACAGCCATCACCAATCACCCGTGTCCTTTTCTAAAATGTTTCATCATGAAAACAGAAACTCTGTGCCCCTCCCCCACCTCAGCCTCTGGTAACTTCCAGTCCATTTTCTGTGTCTCTGAGTTTGTTCTAGCTGTTTCCTGTAAGTTGACTCATACA